GAACTTCAAAAACCTTTGAATGACGCTAAGAAAAGAAATGAAGTAGTTTGGCTACCGATTATAGTTGTTCAAAAATTATGTTGAAACATGGCAAGAAAGCAAGAACGCTATTTAGATGAGAACTTTGCTTAAGTTCGACACGAACCACGTTTAACTGAACCTTTCTTTCAAAATCACTTGCAAATTCTTTCTAGTTATGAACAGATAAGAAGAAAACGCAATAACACAAATACGTTTGTGAGTTTGGATTGCAATTTGTTCGACATTTTGCAAAGAACGAAACACAAGCCTACAGCCGAACTTCTTGTAAATTCTGATTTTAGCACGAGAATATTTCCAGCTTTTCTAGAGAACAGACAGATTCGGTGGCGCCGCAGTTTCTCTATTCTCTACTTCTAATCGAAGCACTTTATCTAAAAACGAGTAACCATTCAGAATTTTATCTATTTCAAAGTTATTCAGAGCACTTGGATCGGTTGGTTGGTTGGCTGATTGGAGAGAGCGTCGACGTCGTCTATTGTCAATCATTACAATAATGGGAAAATGAGCGTCGAACACAGAGCGACGAGGAATAGAAATGTAAATAAACGGCGTTGACGACGACAACGCTGAGCTCTAGACGAGACTAGGAGAATACGGTATTAGTGGCTGCTGCTCGTCGAGCTTGAGCAGGTTTTTCAAGTCTCTTAATGGTGGTGAATAATTGAAAAGTTTGAGAACTCTTACAGAGAAAGGCGCTCGTATAGTGCAAACAAAAATTGAATTATGTCAGAGCCTGGAATTTACAAAGACACAATAGTATTGAGATAAGGAAGACAAAAAGATAACAAGTAAATGAACTGAGGAGACCTCAATAACGTGAAGATGTAGCCAGAGTATCTTCAAGTAAGAAACAAAGTAATGATTTTTGAAAGAGACGATAACAATAATTTGAAGACTCATCAACACCTCTACGTGAGCTATCACAATTCTAGCACAATGTTTTTTCCGCTCATTAGCAAATTAATGACTGCAACTCATTTTCTTTCGCACCCACCTGGTTGGTTCTGGACGATGCACAGCGAGCAACCGTTCCACTGCCGACTCGGCAATTTTGTGTTCCTGCAATACGGAGCGATACTCTTGTGAACAGCCTGTGCCTAGCCGAATGTACTCGGCTCGATCAATGTGACTCATATACGAGTGAAGAAAGACTCGAACAAAATGACTGACTGCACCTGAATTAAATGCTCGGTGAGTTTCTGCGTACGATCTGAGCATAAGGGACACTGCTCGCCTTCTTCATGCGTACGTGCATGCTCTTCCAGCATCTGGGCGTCTTCTAAATTTATTGCGTTCAAAACTTCTTCCCATAACCTTATCTTCATTTTTTTTACTCTTCTACGCAAACAACGGTTTTGCAATAGTTACAGCTCCAATAACTACATACTTCCCACATCTCAAATTGGCTACTCATGTATTAAGACAATCATGGGAGAAATCCACATGATTTCCACTAATCACAACAGATTATTGGATTGAATGAATTTATCTATTGAATGATGACAACCAATCAAAAACATTTTGGAGACTAGCAAAAACACGTAAGGGTGCAGAATTTTGAGGGATGCTTTTTTTAAACGAAATTTCCAGCCGGAATTTGAGAAAACAAGAACTGCAACCTCCTCAATTAGAAATTAGCTAATACTTGATATCTAGAATAAACCATCTTAGGGTTTAGTGATGAGGTTTCTAATGGCCCAGAGATAGCCAACCAAACATTGCGTTAATTGAAAATTTTTTTGAAAAGGTAATTTCACTTTGATAAATAAGCAGCAGTCAATTATAAACACCTCATTTCCCGGGTCTTCAATAGAACATTCAAGAAGAAATAAGTTATTACAAATTGGTATTTATATAAAATACGTGTATAGCGATATATTGATCTGATAGGTTCTAATTAGAGACAGTATGGAATGAAGTGGGAAAGTGTGATGATAACGCCTCTAATCACCCACTATAACCATTTAGAGGCGTCAATTTATCAAGATGATGCGGCAAGATCAAAGCGATGCCGGTGGGGTTTCACCGACCGTGTCACCATCCCCGCCGTCGTCGCTGCTCCAGAATTCTCACCGCACGGAGAGGTATATCCCGTCCGTCAGATAGACGACATTGTGTGCATGGGTGAAAAGTGTTGCACCTCGTTGTTCACTGTTCATTTTTCGCGCTTTGCTAGGCTTGGGTGTAGATGAAGTGTGAGAGGAGGCGAGCAGCGAGCGATGGGGAGTGTGCAGGTGCGCCGTGGAGGGTGGCGGCCGAGATCAAAGGGCCCGCGG